AGTATCTCCCTGTCGACACGTTACGAGACGTGTATGAATCGGCACTGACATGGAGGAAGCTAGCAGAATATACAAGAAAGGCGCTGGAGCGAAGAGAAGCCCTCATAGATAGATAAATTTGACTGACTATGGCTGTATACATGAAGCCTCCAAATAAATACTTTCTTCTTCTTCTTCTAATGAGGTAGGCCTGTGACTACATAAGCAAAAATACTGACAGAAACATCACTGGATGAAGGTGTCTGCGGTTACGTTGCATTTATATTGAGTAAAGCAGACGTTCATCATGCACTTGGATATCGAATATCGACGAAGCAAAATCTCGGAATGCCGATATTTATCTGAATAGTAAATATCGGTCCGATAATCGATACAGATATAATATCGTTACATCCCTACTCATCATACACACTAATGGGGTGAATGTAGAAGGCAAGAATCACCCTGCCATTTCTCCTGTCTTCTTTGTGTGTGTGTGTTCGATGTATTCCAGGAATTCTCTACGTATCACTTAGGCATCCCATTCTGCTCTTCCAGTGTTTCACGGACTTGACGGGAGAAGCTGAATGACATTTGATTGAGAAATTTCCTTCTGTGTTTTTGCCTTTTATGAAGTAATTAATCAGGGAAGTCTGATTTGAGGAAAAAATACCATCTTATGGGAGACTGTATTGAAAGAAATGTACTTGGACAGCTCCTCTTGGGGGGGGGGGCTGCTTAAGGAATTTTGCTTAAGGCAAGAGTTCACAAAGCCATTGCATCTGTCACCATCTTCAATGATGATCATTAAAGAGAATGGAAAATAGTAGAAAGCCATAACAGATAAGTCAAAAAAGCGTGAAAATATTGGTCACTAAGCAAAATTTACAGTTGAGTGAAGTCTCATGGGTAACAGATGAGAAAATCTCTCACACCATGCATTATTGTCTTCAGACAAGTACAGCAAGACCTTCAGTGACAACTGCATTTGGCAATTCCAAGACAGAAATACAATAGTCCCCTGATGCAATCTGCATGTGCATAAGCATTTGATATTTAAAATGCTATTTCTCCAGGTACAACTAGCCATTTGTCATTGTAACTGAAAATAAACATTTAACAATCTTTCCTTCAGATTTTCATGCCACAGAGCTGGATACTACAACAAGCAATTTCTAGAATTCAAGGATTAGAAAACTATATTCCTCAAAGGCAGCAACATAGAAACTTTCCTTACACACATCCCCAAATAAAAACCTAATAAATTCCATTCTATACTTCAATATCACTTTTTAAATATAATTTTGACATTTTTTTGTTAAGGATGTTATTAAATTTTAACATCATGAAACATAATCACTAATGTTTCGATTCATCTTTGCCATCATTAATTTAATTATAATATCACACAGGCTCAGACTTCAAATGCAACATGCTCCACAAGAAGTAACTTGCAAAAAACTGTCATAAGATGTAGCATGTTGGAATGAAATTTCTCCAAGTAAAATCTTGTTTAAGGGGGTCTGTATCCCCATCATAATATGTCACAATAAAAGAGACATGATCCTTACATGTACATGATGAGGAAGTGAACATTCCGGTAACCAAGATGCTCAGCAAATAGGTTGACAACAAAGTCCAGGATAAGCATGAGAAGCTGGACACAGACCACTAACTGGTATTTGGCCAGGGACAGCGTCTGCATCCTCTCTGCATCACATGACCAACTGTTTTGAAAGATTCATTACCCATACACTTCTCTAAATTCTGAAAGTGTGTGAGACTGACAGAAAAAGCATGGGTCATTTACAATGTCACTGATGCTGGAGCCACTGGCACTCCTGCCTACTGCAGGTGCAAGAAGGCACAGTATTTCTCATTGCAAATTTAAAAAAGCAAACTTGAATTAATCAATCGAAAAAAGACAATGTTTTAAATAATATGAGAAAACCTTCAAAATCTGACAGTCAACTGAAAATGTGATAAGTCAGAACCCAACTCCATTTTCCACAATAGGAATGCACATATTCATAATCTCAATAAAGATAAATTTCACATTTTATTTTGCTCCCTGACTAGATGACAGCATAGACCAGATCCCTTTAGAAAGAAACCACATAAAAACTCTTAGGGTGAGATCAATCAATCTCAAAGCATATCAGAAAACACATTTTTATGCTGAACACAAAATGACAAAGGTCATTTATCATTCAAACTTAATTGCTTCAAATAATAGGAGATTTACGGATTGTTCCTTTCCATTCAAACTTCTCTGCTTCATCAAGTCGTCTTGTGAGGAAGCCCAGCTTGGCCGAGAGTGCACTGACTTCTTCCTTGAAACGCACATCCCGCCTTCCTTCCATTTCAGGCAAAACCTTTTCCAAGTGCTCAATCTACAATTCCAGGGGTCAACACCATAGCACTTTAAGTAGCACAAAATGAAGTGGACTTTCTTGAATGAAACTTACTCGTTTCTCGATGCTTCGGATCTTGTTCCTCACAGTCAGCAAGTAGGAATTAGAGAGGGGAGTCCTGGGCATGCATAGCACTACAATGGGTCGATGCATTTATCAGTACATCAGCCAAATCCCTATAGCGCAAAATGAAGTGCATTCAATGGACATAAGTTACCATTTTGATGTAGGGAGCAGATCTCCAATATATACGGGCTGAAAGGCAAATGAAGACGAAAATTGAATGCTGCACCAAGTCAGAGGAAAATGGCATGTTGCTAATGGGCATCTAATTCTTGATCAAAGACAGACCAGCTTAGACTAAGAGGAAAGGAGAAGAGGCCATAATGGTATTAAGCCAAATGCACAAAAATGCAGGTCCCTTATATCTACCAGTTGGGGGCATCCATGGGTTGCCACAGTGACCATATATTCAAGACCAGGTATAACTCGAAAATTCGCGCACGATCATTGAACTGAAGCAACACATCAATGAGAAGATTGATGGAGTTGCCATTCGGTGATGGCTCGCATGATTGAGCTTGATGGTGCTCAATATTGTGGCCAGTTATAACAGTCATTTTCACACCAAATAAATAAATAAATATTTTTTAAACATTACATATTTCTTAATTATTGCACACCCTTTCCTATGAAAAAAACCATTTGCAAATTAATGCCTTCCTTGCAGAGTTATAGTTGTTCAAAGTCATTCAGTAACTTTTTACTCACCTTGTATATGCAGGAGCCCATCCCGCAACCAACATAATTATTTTATAAAGAATATATATGCTGCCCAGGTGGTATAATATATGAATAATCCTTACATGGATCATATGCTTCAACCATATATGCCCTCATATATGTGGGTTCATATTTCAATACATGAGAAATATATGAATTCATATAGCACAGGTAATTGCATATAACTACCATATATGATATTTCTGTATGGGACAGATTACTTTTCTCAGTTCTTTTATTATTAGGTTTTATTCTCTTGCATTCTTTTAATGCAAACTTTTTATACGGTTTTTTTTTTTTTTTTTTTTTTTTTACAAGAGGCTTACTTTTCTCTGGTGTTATCAGGAGTCCTAGGTGACAGAGGGATGAGAGTTCCATCTTTTCTCCTCAGCTTGCACACAATACCATGATTGGGTATCTGCAGTCTCATATTCAGGAGCTGAAGGAACTGGTTGGTGGAGATAGATCTTGGGAATGTGATAGAGACTGGAAGCAGCTCCTCTGTTGGTCATGAAAAAGCAGTCACAAGGTTGGCCTGAGTTCATGCAGTGAACACTCATGAGTTCATTATGAATGATGTTGGATTGATCTCATGCATCTTCTGACTTATCTTGTACCTTTTTTATTTGATTCTGAAATGTTTAAACCTTTCATTGCAGAGTTTTTGCAACAAAATTGCTACCATGGTGCTGGGTATTTTTGGCTAGTTTTAAAATGAAGGTTTAGGCAACAGTACCAACAGTTTATTATCATCTGATGGTTTTATCGAGAGACCCACAGTGTCTTGTCCAAACACCAGGATGAATATGTTTGTCAGCTGCAGCGAAAAGGTTAAAGACACTAGATGGGTTATATTGTGGAATTGAGTTACGTTTTCAAGATAAAAAGTGGTATTCCTGATCCTGGAGGATTCATCCTATTTCTTCTGACTCTCACTTGAAATAATGTACTTGGTCATTTAAAATCAGGAACGAAAAAAATGGCTTGCTGAGTTATAAGCATGATAGGGAATTTTAGCATAAGGACTTCTAGCATGAAATTCTCACTTTACTGGCTTTGAATGCATTTCTTTCAGCCTGCAGTCTCACATGATTCTGACATTAAGATCTTGCTTCTACCTTCAAAATTTGGATCTTGGAGGAGAAGCTTCTTCTATTAGGGTGTTACAATCAACCACTACCTAGAAATGCTTATCAATTCATTGATTAGTTTTTAGAGATGAATGAAATGACTCTCAGCTAATAACCAAATTTTTCATTGGATGAGAGATACACAATTACTCTTTGGTGACCTCTATTTCTCTCTGACCACTCATGATTATTGATTTACAGATCTCCTCAGGCTTTTGATTTCTACCTAACCTTTATTATTGCCTTCAGTTGGACACTTTGATGAAAGATCTTATCCACTTCGCTGATGACATAACTGTTCTAGTTTGCCTAAATGCTGCAAGAAACCTGTCATGTCTTAAAATTTGCTCCAGCAAAATCAGTGCCAGTGCCTCCACCAACGACTCAACTTTCAACTATGAGGGGATAGCAGACTTCATGTTTGGGCAAATACACCCCACCTATCTAGTCCATGGCCGAGTGTCTTGGGGTAAGAGTGAAATTAAACCTAACGAGTCACATAAACTCGTGCAGCACTTAAAAACTGGTCATAGTTTACTTGCATAAATTGTATGTCCTTTTCCCCCTTTCCCGAAGTGTTTCCTATTTTCCTATGAAAGGAAAGGAGCTTGTTCATCACTCACCTTGCAGTTCTCGATCCATCTCGTGGCTCAAATTATTCCCGGCGGTTTCCTGCTCGCGATCTCGTCGAACTACCTCAAGCCATATCATACCAGGAACTTCATGGGGAGGATAAAAGTTGGATAGTCGGTCCATCGTCTCGATACAAAAGTATTTGCGTCCGAAACCGACGAATAAAGTTATAAACTCATAACGGGTAAAGGATTCACGCATAACCTGGACACCTGTGTGCCGCCATCTTGATATAGGAGATCGATATATACGTAAATAGTAAAGTCTGCTGCCATTGCTCTCGAAGCTCTCACTCTGGGAAAACTTAACTTGCAGAAACTGGTAATTGCCCTCAAACCAGGGACGTACTCTTGCTACAGTGGGAATTACGTGTGCAACTGGGAGACCAGAGTTTACAAGCACTGCCTTTCCTGCCCAACCTTTTATCCTCAAAGGGGTCATTAACCCTGTCACTGAAACATTATTTTTCTTTATGCATACCTGTGCAGAGTTTTTTGTTTCTGGTGCATCATTACCCTACTTATACAAAAAAATATGTTCCCTCGCTTACCTTATGTAAGTGTATAACTGAACTGGAGCAGATTGTCCTGAAAAATCTCTGGTAAGAAGCACAAGAAGAAATGCCACAAGAAGAGACACGTTTCTGGGCTCGATCAGGTAAAATGTAATCTGTCTTCCTCTCCGATAAGGGAAGAGGGTGACTTCGCCTTTCATCCCTCCGCAAGACAGTGGTGAGCGGCCAGGGCCGGTTAAGGTTATGAGGGGCCTAAGGCTAATGGGAAGGAAGGGCCTAAGTATGAATTACATATTGAAAAAAAAAATGGAATGGAGGGCCTAAGACTATAACCTTATTAGCCCATGGGTTAATCCGGCCCTGTGTGCGGCACCTGGGAGATGGAAGTACCGCATATTAATGGTTTAAACTCCGTTAAATGCTTATTTTGTACAAGCATGACCTCTGAAAAAAGGGAAAAAGAAAGTAAGCAGGAAAAGGAAATGGACCGCTTTCTGTTTTTCCCTTTGCGTATCATGCATCAAGTCGGTTACGCGGAAACTAATCTGGTATCACAATGAGTCCGTATGGGGACAGGTTCGTGAGTTAACATCATTCTCATAGATGCTCATTGCAGAATCAGATTAGTTTAAGATTAAACTTGGATCAAACTTTTTAGTTAAAGGGTGCTCTTCACCGTTCGTCTGCATGACTTGAATTTCTCAAAGAGGAATTGCAAAGAGACTTTGTAAATTTTTGTATTTAGGTCATTTTGTAAATAGTCGTTCTTAAACCCTTATCCGGGCAAGGGGGGTCCGTTAGACCCCCAGGCCTCAATTTTTCTAAACAGCATTCAAACCAGCATTCAAACCATTGCAGTCATTTTTAGTATTTGTCCTTCAAGTTAAGGAGACCCTGACGCCAGAACATCAGCATCCTGAAAAATTTATAAATGTAAGAAATATTTTTTTTTTATTTGAGTAACGTAACTGGGCAAGGGGGGGGGGGGGGTCCATTGGACCCCTACTACGTTCCATGTACACATACAAAATGTTATCCCCTGATTCCTCCATATTTCACAGCATTATCACCTAATAATTGCCTGAAGGGCCTTCCGACAACTAGCCGTAAGAGAGAAAAAGGGAGGAAAGAGGAGAATCCCTGATTTTATCTTAGGCTCATGGAGAAGAATTCCTCCCCAAGCAGGGACTTCCGAAGAGATGAATCGCTAAGTTGAAATTTGGGTAAAACACAAAGAATGTTGCCCCTAACACATTCGTACTTGCCTTTTTCATCCTTGTGGGACGTGTTGGAATAACGTTATTCCCCATATGGTTCGGTATAGCATAGTCATGATGTTAAATCGGTCTCACCCAGTGTTATTGGTTCGGCTCCATCTGAAAATTTTCCTTCATGCTATGTTGTTACTTGTTTCTTTTCACGTTAGGCTAAGTCTGTCTCTTGGTCTATAGACTTTTGATTAAGAAGCTAGGAATGGGCTAATGCAAAAATTCATTCAGAAATCTGAGACTAACGATCAGACAGCGAAGCCGTAAGGATATATACCTCATAAATAAATGTTTGCAACAATTTCATGATGTGACTTTCTTGTAAGTTAAGCTTTTATTCTTGGTTTGGGACCACATCAACTTATTTTATTCGTAACATCAGGGTTAATGTTACTCTAATAATATAAGGTGAATATTACATCATGTGTAAAAAGAGACGGTAAATCGGATGTAAAAGGTACTCCGAAGGTAACAAATTGTGAAATACAGGTGAAAGGAAAGTAAGTGCAGGTAAAACACAGTGCAAAAAAAAAACACGGATGAGAAGGAGGGGAACTATGAAACTGAGGTACATTACAGGTAAGAATGCGGTAAAATAGCGTGGTGAAATTCGGTAGCGATGGAATTCAGACAGCGAAACGTGGAAAATTTTTTTTGAAATTTTCCCTATTTTAGACCTTAGTTTTACCATCAAAATTTTACCTGAGATTTAAAAAAATTGTTTGGGATGCAAATTAATGTCGCATTAATTTTGAAATTCATCGGAATCAATCAAATAAAGACGTTGCTTCGTGGTGAGCGTGTTTTTGCCAATGTTTATCATCACCATATACTTAAAGTAATAGGGGGTCCAATGGACCCCCCTTGCCCGGTTACGTTCGTCTTTTACCTTGCCCGGATAAGGGTTAAATGATGAGGCAGGACACTACATAAAAAACATTTCCCATTCGCTGTCTATTTTCTTTATCTTTCTCTCTCCTTTTCCCGCTTGTCTGGACTGGCCAAGGAGGAATTGCAGAGAAAATTAATGTCTGAATGAAGTTCTTTCGACGTTGAAAAAGACGAAAAAAAAGTCTCTTGGCCTTCACTGTCTGCTTTTCTGCCTTTTTCTTACTGCTCCCCTCTTTCCCGAATTTGAATTCGTCGAGGTGGGGAATGCTCGCCCTCTGCACGTCCCAGCGTGACTTCCAATCAAGGGTGTCAAAATCAAACTCGAACGATCCAGAAGTTATCCATTCTCCTTGGGAAGGTCTACGGAGCGAAGAGGAAGAAAGATTCCTCCCACACCCACAGACCCCTTTGCTCCTACCCTCATACCCAGGGGGGGGGGGTGGTCGGAGAGTCCCCTCTAAGACCTGCGCAGAAACGCGTTTTGGGGGTGGAACGCCTCGCACTTTTGGGTATGCTATGTAAGTAGACAGGGTAGAGAAGCGCTCCCTTGGCATGGGAAACAGGGCAAGACCA